CCCCGACCCTGTGTGCCACCACGTGTGCCATGCCCCAGACACAGCAGTGCCATGTCCCATAAAACAGCATTTATTTTAAGTTGTGGAATAGACAGGAGGCCATAGTACAGCAGGGGACAACACTATTTTGTATAGTAATACCTGCTCCCCAGCTTCAGCTCTGTCTGTTACTCCCAAGATGACCATCTTTATCTGTGATCCAACGTGTCAGACATGCTCCTGACACATGTCCCAGTATGAAACAGCAAATAGGCAGGGCTGTATACACATACCTTTCACTTTACGTGGTTTTCTTGCTCTTACAGGATTTTCTTGTCTTCTTGGACTGAAAGTTCAGGTCCTACTGGCACAGCTTCAAAACTGGACATGGGCTAACCCTGGCTACGCCAGTTTCTTCTGATTTGCTCCTAGCTCTGACCAAATTTTAAAGTCGTTTATTTCGCTGTTCTTCTCCCTTACAGCACACTCACTTTTTTAGGATCTAGATTACTAAAGTTGTGAAACTGGTCCTATATTTAGAATTATGATTTAAGCTGCTTTTATTATGTGCAATTGTTGTACACTGAGGAAGTGCTAGTTTGGTTTTTTATAACACTTCAGCAGCATTATCTCTGAAGGGTATTAAAATATGCACTTGGCTACATTTATGATGTTTAATTGAACTTTTATTAGTTTTTTTTAATGTATCCTCATAAAGCACAATACCACAGTAAGAAATAATGTACAAGTGGTAGATTATGGAAATGAAGCAGAAAATGCTATACTTTAGTATATAGTTCATATAAAATATAAAAATTAGATGAAAAATGTGTTTTTGAGTGCAGTTCTAATTAAAATTGTATATTGGAGTCTAAGCTACACCATACTCTGTAAATACCAGCGGTTGTGCTGAGTTCCAAGGAGATTATGTTGCAGTAGATGCTGATAAATTACTGTACGAAGTAAGGCTTTTATTGATTCACTTTGTTTGATTCTCTTCCCTTTTTTTACTGCATGAGTTTACATTTTTCCAATTATCTACTAAACTGGAGTAAATTAAATTCAGAGAAGGCAGCAAAAGACGAAGGTGGCAGAGATGCGCTGTAACGGCATAGAGCTAAATAGGATGAGAGAAACATATACACACACAAGCATTTCACCTGGGTAATGGAAACACCACGCTTAGGAGCTCAACAGCCCAGAAATTCTGAAAGGCTGCTTCTGGAAGGGGAGTAATTACCATGCCCGCAGCCATCTCACCTCACGCTGGGATCCCGCGCAACATAACAAGCAATGGAAATGCTGTCTTTCCTGCTGGTTTTCGACAAGCTCCCAGAGAAAGTGGTGGCAAGGCGAGTGAGAGAAATTCTGGACAGTAGCGGATTGTTTGATAGATTTCATCCTGGATTCAGCCACAGCCATGCTACTGAGCCTGCCCTTGTCAAAGTCATAAATGGTTTGAATAGCGCTGCTGAAAAGGAAGCCTGGCCTTGTTTGTACTATCAGATCTAGCCATGGGGGGGTTATTCTGTAAAAGGCTGGATTCTGTTCCAGTGCCTAGGTGACTGGCTGGTGTTGACTGAGAATGCGTTGAACTGGTTCCAGCGGTACTTGATTGCTTTCCCCAATCAGCATAGTAGGGTAAATTCTCCTCGAGAGCAGCCAGTTTCACATAATGACACTTGATCCCAGGGAGAATTCACCAGCAGCCTGACTTAGTTGGCACTGATGCTTTACACTCTTCCTCTTGCCTTTCAGAGAGATATATGAGATGCATTAGAGCAGTGTATTAGAACTCCTTTTTGGCTTTGTTGAAGAGGACTATATTTCTAAAAGTACCAACAATCAGATATTCAGAAACAAAAGACTTTCTTGTGCAGTCAAGATTATTAATAGAGATATAACACTTATTTGTACCTGTTAATTTGAAGTCAGACTTGTTTTTAAATTTTTTTTTTTTTTTTAAAAAAGAGGCCTGAATTCTGTTTGTAAATCTGGAGTGACAGTGCTGACACCATTAGATACATACAGTTGTAAATAACTTAAGAGGAGAATCTGACTCAGTTGTCTGAAAAACAGAAGTCGCTGAATAAATTTCCATGGGACTTCAGTTTACATTCATGACCAGTAACCCTAACAAAGAGAGTCCACTGCTTCTTCTGCTACTCTTATCTACTCCAGTTCAACCAGTAGTCTGGTACCATTTTAATCCTGCAGAAATTTCCTCTATTCTCCAGCTTCTCAGGCTGTAGCGAGGCTGTGATCTGCAGAGGGATTACAAAGACCTGAAAAGGAGTTTAGCCACAGATCTTTCTGAATCTTGTCAGTGGGAAGACAGATTTGCTTCTCCTCAAGATGCCTCTCATCAATAACATATAGTTTCTGAAATTAGAATCCAATGAGATTACCTGCAAATTCTCCAGTCTGAGATTATCACCAATGTAACTAAAGAGGCCAAGCTGCAGAGGAAATTTGGATGAACCTTCATGTTTGTAACAGATATGGGTTCTCAGTCACTATAACTTAAGGGTCTGTAAAATCAGGATATGATTAACAATCTTTTGTGAACTTCATAGATACAAAATGTGCAGTATGCAAAAAAGCTATCGTGAATAATTAATTTATGCATCAGCTTTCTCATGTGTCTTCATATGTGCATGAGCTGAGGTAACCTGTTATCTTCAAGAAGCCTATAGAAGAGGGGTTTTTTTCTGTTTTTTTACTTCATGACATAATAATTTATACTAGTATACTGGATTTCAAAAGAAAAATTATGTTCATGTGCAGTGGGAACTTAAACAAAATTGAATTTGAAACCTTTCTTTCTCATTAAAAAAATCAGAAAACAATTAAATCCAAGCACATCCTTATTTTGTAACTAAAATGATATAAGAAATGTATGCAATGTACATAAACATACATTAAATCTATAGGACATTTCAGCTTTCCGTTTTCACCCAACATGCACATTAGTAATCGGAATAGGAAGTTTATTAACGTGTAGTGATAAATTGAAGACTAGTATTTCATAGATGGCCTAAAGAGATTTGACTTGGTGTGTTTATTAACACTATTGAACAAGCTCTGTTTAAGAAACTAGAAGAAAACATACCCTATCCATTTTTTCCCAATGAATCTTAATTTCTGTTAGGCATCCCCTGATTTGTAAATCAATCTTGTATTTTTCTTACGGAAATACCTAAACATTCACATTGAGAATATATATGCTTTGCTTCAAAATAGCCTTTTAATAGTTTCTTTTTTATATTAGGCTTCCCAAAAAACAATTGGACTTAGTACAAACCGATGACTTCAGGTTTTGCACATTGTGTTATGGTTAACCACCCCACAGCAGGGCCCTAAAAGCAGGCTTCTTGGTTCAGTAATGTGCATGCTTCTTGCTAATACCCTCATTGCTAATCATAACTTCATGACGTCATGCTCAGCAGTAAAAGCTGGGGGAAGGAGAAAGGGGGGACGTTTGGAGTGATGATGTTTGTCTTCCCAAGTCACCATTAAGCGTGATGGAGCCCTGCTTTCCTGGAGATGGCTGAACACCTGCCTGCCGATGGGAAGCAGTGAATGAATTCCTTGTACTGCTTTGCTTTACCTATTAGTCTGTCTGTGTCTCAGCCCACGAGTTTTCTCACTTTTACCCTTCCGATTCTCTCCCCCATCCTGCTGAGGGGAGTGAGCAAGCGGCTGGGTGGGACTGAGCTGCCGGCTGGGGTTAACCTACAACTGAGTGGCAATAATACCATATCATTTACAAAACCAAGCACTTAAAAGCATGAATGGTAAAAACATCATGACAACATTCTGACTACTCAAGAATATCTCATTTTCATTAGATAAGGGCAAAAGCATGACACTGTAACCAATACTAAGAATACTATTTTGCAAGGCAAAACTTCCTTCTCTGAGAGAGACGAGGATATGGGAGTAACCATAGTATGAGCTGAGAAGAACCAGGACATGTGTTAGCTGAGTAGAGAAAGAAGGCGGCCATCTCCCACACATATGAGACTGGAAGAATCTGCAGGGTCAGGAAATGTGAAGACTTTTACGAGAGGCAACAACTGAAGATGCAAGGTTATGGCCTTAAATGACATGGCAAATGGCTATTCTCTGCAGTGACTGAGAAAGATGCAATAGGGAGAGCTTGTGGGAGGAGATGAAGAAATTTGCTTCAGCCATGAGGAGCTCGCTGAGGTGGTGACCAGACATTGCCAAGGAGACATCAGTTTGTGTTTTCAGTTTGAATGGAAATGAATAAGTCTGGATCAGAAACGGTCTTGTGAATTTCAGCACAGGGACAGCAGTTGAATTTGTGTCCTGTGGTCAGTAGGTCAGGTAGGTTAAGGAAGGGGTGGAGTCTCTGAGATCTGTTTGAGGAGAAATCAATGGAGAAATTGGCACGAGCGACGCCAGTGGAATTGTAGCAGGCGGTCCAGCACCGAGTCGGAGATGAACTCCAGGCAGCAAAAGTAAACAGCACTCAGCATGCTTACAGATAAGCGGGAGAAGGGGGGGTAAGATGGTAGTTGTGGAGGCAAGCAGGTTCGATGTGTGTTTTCAAAGTGGAGAGATTAAACACACATTTGTTTTGAGAGGAGGGAGAAGCCAAGGCAAATGACAGTGTACAGAGAGGAGTAGAAAAAGAGATAGGCAAGCACCCGGGAGAGGAGAAGATGGAATAACTTGTTCCACTTAACGCTTGCATCCGTTTTGCAGATCAAAACTGCACTAATTTGGGAAGCAGTTTATATAATCCATAAAAACGCATTTTATTAGTTTTTTTTTTTTGCTTTGAATCACTGACTTCTAAAGAATGAGAACAGCCATAAATGCTATTGTCTCCACAGGCAGCAATTTGGAAATAGAAGATGCATAGTTACATGATAAGTGTATTTTCTTCATAAAAAATGTTTGCAAATCAGGTTTGAAATAAGAGAGGAATAACTTGAAAATCTTCTGCACTTCAGAAAATAATAAAATGTCTTCTTATTTTCCCTTGGTAGGCCACGCAATGCAGATTACTTTATGCAGGAAGCTAAACGGAAGAAGCATAAAGCAGATGCAATGGTGAGACCATTTTCTTTCCAGTTATGTTGCTTCAAATTATTTTTGTAATGCAGTTTCTTCATCAGTGCAGTATTGCTAGGGTAATTATAAAATCTATTATAAGGATGGCTAGGCTTGTTAAATTAAGAAATGTTTATATAATCAAATGTTCATAGCTCAATAAACTAGGACTTAACAAATAATGACTTACTGAGATAAAGGCCTGGATAAATAAAACTTTCCATTTATTCCTTTGCTTTAATTAGTAACTATAGTAATGGAGGCTGTGTAAGGGATCCACATACCTATCTTCTCTATTTAACTAGCTGGCTAGTTCCTATAATTGTATCCCCAAATTTGGTCCGGTGGCTGAGGTATTTGTACTTTTTTTAAAGAGCTTTGGCTCTTCAGTGCCAAAAGAATCCTGGTTCGTAGCAGACCTCTCCTAACATAATCAGAAGCACACAAGGAATCTATGTAACCCTAGAGGAACACCTTGCACATAAAGGACTGTTGCAACAAACAGATTCTTGGCCCTGGCTGTGACTGGTCTAAAAATGTAGCCGGTAAGACCCTCTTGAAGAAGGGGAATCTGAGGTTATATAGAGCACTAAAGAGATGCTTGTCTTTCCAAACAAAAGGGTGCAACTAAGTACACAGTGCTCCAGGAGAGCTCCGCTTAGCCGTCTCTCAGCTTTCTCCAAGGCTACGTTTGTCCAGCGCTATGAATAAGCCAGTACAGCCTTAAAAACATTAGGCTGCTGAGGTGGCAGGCGCAATACGTGGGGTGGGACCCTGCATTAATATCGCTGTCTTGCAGATGGGAGTAGCTGCAGTCCTCCTTGCTCTGTCAGACACTTTGTTGTAACAGCAGCAGGAAAGAAGGAAGGCAGCCCAGAGCCTCCGTTTCTTCACCACTTTTTCTCAGCTGTGCAGAATGTAAAAAGGCCAAGGAAGCAGAAGCAGGCCCTTAATTTAGGACACTAACACCGAGTTTTACACTCTACCTGAGTTTATTAGTGCAAATTTCCATGGTTTATTCAGTTCCATATTACTCTAAAGTGAGTCTTAAATCAGAAAATATTGTGGAGAAGTACAAATGGTGCATTTTAGTGTGTTGCTTTAAACAGAATGGAAAAAATCACTTAATATGCAAAGGAAATTCTTAGCCTGAAGAGAAATGTTTTTATGGTAGCCTCCCAGAAACAGGAGGTGCAAGCATTATTCTCTGCTCTGCCACAAGCTTCCTGAACGAGAGTCACTTAGGCACAGTTTAAATAGCTTCCCGTCAGTCCTGGGTGATTGAAACACCCTTCACATTCAGCTTCCGTACACAGTGGACCAGCACCTTACTTACTTACACCTTGTGAATCATTCGTTGCAGGTACTTCCTCTCCCTCACTCACTGTGTAGGGATCCTGGAGGAATTGCCATATTGCCAAAGTGCCTCCAGGCCTTTGAACCACCTTGCTGGGCTGGATACCTCCTACTTTGGTACTGCAATACCTAACACAAGCACTTAGAGTGAGCAGCCTGAAAATTACTCAGAGTCTCTCTGCTCCTTAGTCCCCCATCTGTGAAATTGGAATAATAGCACTTCCACCTGCACAAGAGCGT